GGGGGGGGGGGGCTGAGCCCCCAAAGCCCCCCCCCCTGAATACGCCTCTGGCCTAGACAATTTTAAATTCAATCATCAATTTATCTTTTTTTCTGAATTGATAAAAAAGGCGACTGTGTCTGCGTAATTTCAAGAGAACCTCCATCTCTAGAGTGAAATTATAGATTCACAACGGTTTTTAGATACATTTTTGAACTATAAGACTTTCCCATGAAAGTGGTCTGCGGATTTATGATTTTCAAGACAGAAAAAAACTTATAAATTTATTTTATTGCCACTATTGGGAATTGGATAGACGTCTTTAAAAATAAAGCGTCATTTGAAATTTCGTGTACAGTCCCTTTAAACAGTATTACACCTACTTGATTAGAGTCTCCAGTATCTCTTTAGGTATATCTTCTATGGTCAGTTGGGTTGATTTATCAATATTTACCAGCTGATCAATTCTACAAATCAAATCATTGACAAAGGATAAAAAAGATTATTATTTTCCAATGGTAAATTACCTTTGCTGGTCGTCAGAATTGAAACGAGCTTCAATGTCCAATATATTTGTACAAAGACTTGCAATTTTCTCTGGTTCCCCAAACCTTTTAAAATTTCAAGAAAATCAAGTTTTTTATGTTTAAATCAAGAGGAATTTTTATCAAACTGAAATGCATAAAATATCAATTTTTTTTTGAAAAGCCAGATTTCTCTTTACATGTCTGTGAAAATAATCTACACGTTTTTTGTCATTATTCAAAGTCAAATTTCGTAGTTATCAAAATCATTTGCTATTAATGGAAACTTAAATCGTCAAATGTAAAAAATATCTTCATGAAATCCACGAAATTAAAAAGAAACCCATGTTTTTAAGCGATCAGCTTCTGGCTTAGATGCAGGTACAGGGTGTCCCAAAAAACATGGGAATTCAGTGACGAATTCGATATCGTCTTTTCAAATAATTCTTTGATTTAGTATAGTGATACCTACTGAGAAAGCTGTAATCTGTAAGAGTTTCGTCTGCTATGTTTACATTTTGTTTGTTTATGTTTTGACTGCAACCGGTTGTACTTAGTAAAACAAGAAAATTACAGTATACAAACCGAGTAAACTTGTCTGTCTTCACTGTTCATCTTGCGGAGACATTATAGACACATCTTTGCAGTCTTTTACCCTTTTCTTTAAATAAACTCTAGCAGACATTATAATAGTATTGCTTTTGAAATTAGGTATTACAATGCTAATTCATAACAAAGACGATATCGAATTCGTCACTGAATTCCCATGTTTTTTGGGACACCCTGTAGATAATATATGTATCATGTTTTAGAAAAGGGAATAATTCCTTTAAATTCATGTTCTAGGGTTATTTTTTTCTGTAGCTTTTACCTATGTTGAGAAACTGAATAGTTTTCCTCTGAAGCTATGGCCTATGGGATAGATAAAAAAATGCAAAACAACATTATTTTAAGCTACAGGGTGTCTTATGAAACTTTACAGTAGCAAGAGAACTTAAAATTTAGTCTTAAATATTAAAAATTATTTGCTACATTCGTTCGTGAATGTACTCTAGTTTAAGAATAAAATGGAGAAAATTATGTTAAAAAATCAAAGACGACCTTCAAGTCGTCTTGCAAATGTAATATTTGGTGGGACATCCTATATATTTGGTCAAACTTAATAATCTGTGGAATATTTACCTCAAATTTCTGATTTTTACGATCAAAAAAAATCTGATTCTCAACTACTTAAAGTTAAGTTTAATTTAATGATAACATACAGTGTTATCTACAGTGAAACCCTTAATAACGAATACATCGAAAGAATTCATCAAATGTCGTATTCTTCACTTTCTGATATTGGAATGTTGCAGATATTTAGTTTTTTAATTAAATGATTATATGGAACTCTTTAAAACTGTTCGCGCATATTCATGGCTATTTATTTATTTTCGCAAATACTGAAATTTACGTAATATAGTATAAAACTCATTGAAAAATTGTCAAGACGACATTTGATAAATTCTTCCGATGTATTCGTTATAAAGGGTTCACTATATAAAACTGTAGATTTGGAAGACGACAGGCTAGTTATGACTTTAAATAGTCAAATGAACTTAAATCATTTTTTTCTGTGTACATACTCACAGACCTATTTCACTTAATTACACGATTCTCAAGCTTTTGTACTTTAACGACTTGTTTTATAACTTTGAAATTTTTTTCAGAAAGGTTTGTAGACTTTTAAATCATAGTTCATGACTTGAATCCATTAGTGGTCTTCAGGCTACTTATTCAGAAGTTTAATGGGTCTTATTATGGGACCCCCACCCCAACTCAATATTCACACATCTACACAGTTTGTTTTTAATCTTTGTGAAGAAACAATCTCAAGGAATAATAATTGTCTAAAAACATTTTTTTAGAAAGTGAATATTTGCAAATTATCTTTTTCCCATCTCATAATCTGAGTTCTTTTCCCTTATGTCCATTTGACAGCCCAAATTTTTATTTTGAATAATCTTTTTGTTTGTTTATATTCTTGTGATTTTTACATTTTTTTATTTTTTTTTTATCGATTTTGATGGTTATTATATCGTTAGAACTGACGAGGGTCAACCCAGACCGAAATATATTTTCACTAAATGTGGAACTAACATCTACTTTTTTACTCTACAGAGGTTTGGTCCATCACCATCACTGAATTTTAAATCTTATTTATAAGCTGGCAATGTAAGGAACTCAAACTTTCCTGTGTAAGTTGTTGAAGAAACAAGCTGTCTAGAATTACAAGGATCGACAGACCTACTTGAGGCATCTTGTCCCTGATCAAGCACTAAAGTAGACTCGAAAAGATCTTGACAACTTGATTGAGTATAACCATGGAATTCCGATGGATAAGATTTCCCAGATAAAGGTATCTAAAAGACAATTTAATAAAAAAAAAAGTGAAAAGTAGCTGAACTACGTAGCCTAAGATGAACCAATTTTGTGCCCCGGTTCAATCTAGTGTAGAAAGTAGTTCTTTTTGTTTATTAAATTATGTTCCTGAACGGCTGAAGAGATAAACTCCTCAGAAGATGATTCCCAAAGATCGTCTTTAACTGCCTTCATTGAATCATGAGTAGATGTAAATCTATTATCATGTTTAGAACCTGCCACAAGAGAATTAGAGGAGCTGGAGGAGCTAGAAGGCACATCTGTAGACCTGAATTAGAACATTGCAATTCAAAAGTTGATTGGTATAGAGTATACATGTAGTTGGTACAGAGTATATATGAAGTTGGTATAGAGTATATATGCACAATTTAGTATAGAACTGGTAGGTTTAAAAAAATCATATTCAGCAAATACACTACCAATCGGAAAACGAAGAGACACGTTACCAGTCTACTGCACTCTCATTGGTGGGAGTTCTGCTGCATATATATGAATTTTTGTATTAATTTGAGGCATTTTCCATTTTCTGTTGTGCTCACATGCCCCGTAAAATTCCAAAACAGAGAGAGGGGATTGAATTTTGTAGATCCAGAAAAATAATATCTGAGGAATCCTGCGTAGAGACTGGCAGCTGGTGGGGTCTTAAATGTAAGACATGTGGCGGCAGCGCTCGGCCCCCTAGCCTGTCCTAGCCGCAGCGCTCGGCCCAGAAAGTGTCATAAATTAACCTAATCCATACCGCCGCGCTCGGTCCCCTAGCTTGTCCTAGCCGCAGCGCTAGGTCCAGAAAGTGTCTTAACCTAACCTAACCCTAAATAAATACTAATTTAATTATTTTCTGGATCTACAAAATTAAATCCCCTCTCTCTGTTCTGGAATTTTACGGGGCATATGCGCACAACAGAAAATGGCAAGTACCTAAATTTGACACAGTGTTATATAAATTTCTCGAGACAGGAACATCAGATATAACTTTCATGGGTCGTGACCAAGAGCTAAAGTGAATATGCTTTCATCCTATACACCCTTTAATTTTTACAGTCCCTTTAATTAGTTTTTCTTACCCTTGCGGAGCAACATCTTTCTTTTCTTGTTCTTTGTATGTCATTCCAACAGCTATGCATTTATTAAATCTAAATAAATTATTTGAAATAATTTATTTCTTTTGACCATGAAGAGCTTCTAGTTTTTTGCCCTGACATTCTAATTTTAGATATTATCATCTGCACATTTTTTAATGATTAATATTTTAATGGATTTTAAGCTAATTTTTTCTTCAAAACATAGAGTAACTGATGTTACTGATACTTAATTAACTGATTGGTGATATTACTTCTATTTTATTTGATATAAATATAAATATTTATTTTAAAAGGACAAATTATAAATTATGCTTTTTGCAGCATATTCATCCCTCGAAATTTTGAAATGATAGTACCCAATACAGGGCTAACCACAGATGTTGAGACTATAAAAACGATATTAGGTACTTTGCCCGCGGCGAGTTTCCAGTGTAAGATTGCCATGTTTCAACTTGTCAGGCGGCTCTTTGAAACGTGACAAGTTTGCTAAGTGGCAAAGTTGCCTGGCAACACTTTCCCAGTTGACACAGTTGAGAATTTACCAGTTGACAATTTTGCCAGTTGACAATTGACAATGTTGACTGGCAAACTCTTACCTAACAAATTGTTAACTGGGGTTGTGTTTACAGTTGGAGGGAATCATGTATATAAGGAATCCACGTATATTAAATTTAATACAGTCGTCACTAAAATCACATCCTTTGTGGTTAACCCTGAATCTACCTGCAGTACTGACATTTCTTCCTTGTATTTAGATTGACTTCACAGTTTCCTTCTCCACAGTAAAACAGTTCTTGATTACCCTACACCAAGGTTGTTTATCAGGGAAGATACTGTAGATGCGCTCCAATGTAGGTAAATGCCGTGTGTTTTGCAATGAACACTTTAAATCATCATATGACGTTACTGATACTTAATTAACAATCATCACATTTAACAAACATTGATTGTGCTAACAAGTTTGAAGCTAAAAAATGCAATTCTAATTCAAGTTTTCAATTTTCGAGTTCGTTTATAATTAGTGAGTCGCAAAATTTATTGTTCTTTAAAATAAGCAGTGACGTCATATGAGGATTTAGATCGTGTCTATGGCTATGAAGGTCGTCTTTACCTACAATGGAGCGCATCCAGAAGGTAATAAAATAATAAGAAAGTAAACAAAGGAAGCACTGGAAAAATAGCCTGCTTGTAAGAATACTACATGAAAATATTTTCGCGGAATTTTCGCATTTCGCATTTCCAATTCTCGCGTAAAAAAAATTCGCTTCGTTTTTGCTTAATTTATTTTCGCGAAAAAATGTGAAATTTCGCAAAAAAGTTTTAAAAATGCGAGCGAAAGTTTTCGCATATTTTCGTGAAACGTTGCGTTCGCTGAAAACCCTAGGTAAATGCAGTGGCTCAGAATGTGACTCGGGGAGTATGAAACTAAGAGAATGTTGCTGTGACGAGGGTATCAAGAGAAGTTGGCTCGGAAAATAAAATGAAATGAATGTGGCTACAACCGACCTTAGAAATTGTTCTACGAAAGAAAGCTCTGCAAGAGAAACAGCTGGTGGTTCCTGAAACAAAACCAGTTTGGAATAAGTGATGTGCCTTCAATGTTTATGGGTCATTTTCCCCCATATTTTTTTCATGGTAAAAATTTGGCATAGCGTTATTTTTAACATTTTCTTATACTTTGTCATATTTTGATCCTGAAAGAAGATATAATGTAAAGAACGACCAAAATCAATCCAACAACAATGGAAAAACGATTGTGTGGTAACGATCGCGTTTACATTTTTTTTGTTTTATGATAAAGATATTGAAAAATTTAATAAAAGCAACAGTATAAAATTGTGTTAAGTTTTATTGATTTTATTAAAACAATTAACAATACTATTTTGAATAAAGAGAAAACAAGAGAGAATTCTGAAACAATGTACAAAGGGAACATCAACTTAGTTTCCTTAGTTATTTTTTGAATGGCGGAGTCTTACCGTAGAGACAACAATTTGGCAGAATCCATCCCTTTTCAATATATGAAGGAAACGACGATATGGGCTAAAGGGCTCAGTTGAGAATCAAGAAGGTATGTCAGTTAAGTCGACCCTTTGTCGGTTACTTCGACCCTTTTTTAGTTACTTCGACTCTTTGTCAGTTACGTTGACCTTTGTCAGTTACGTTGACCTTTGTCAGTTACGTTGACCTTTGTCAGTTACGTCGACCCTTTGTCGGTTACTTCGACCCTTTTTTAGTTACTTCGACTCTTTGTCAGTTACGTTGACCTTTGTCAGTTACGTCGACCTTTGTCAGTTACGTCGACCCTTTGTCAGTTACATCGACCCTTCCCTTAGGAGTGTTTTTTTTTTACCGTAATTCGAGTATCTATACTTGGTAGCCTGAATATTATGATCAATTTAAAATGAACAGATCAATTATTGTGATTAATTGTTAACTTAAAAAATTGATTAATCAACTAATTAGTTGATCAATTAAAGTACAATTAAAATAACTTAATATTTGAATAATTAAAACGTTTAATGTTTCATTCGTTATATTTCATTATAATTTGTTAACAAACTGATTGATTTTTTGATTAATTTGATGTTTGATGATATAAATTGATTGAATGTTTGACCATTATAAATTGATTGATTTTTTGATAATTATAAATTAATTTATAGCTTGATAATTATAAATTGAATAATCGTTTGATAATTATAAATGTATCGAATGTTTAATAATTATAAGTTGATTGATTGTTTGATAATTATAAATTGATTGATTGTTCGAAAAATATAAATTAATCAATTGTTCGATATAATTATCCATTGATTAATTATTTGTCAGTTATAAGTTGATTGATTGTTTGATAATTATAAATTGATTGATTGTTGGATTGTTGGATAGTTATAAGTTGATTGATTGTTTGATAATTATAAATTGATTGATTGTTGGATAGTTATAAGTTGATTGATTGTTTGATAATTATAAATTGATTGATTGTTTGATATTTATAAATAGATTGATTGTTTGATAATTACAATTCAATTAATTGTTTGATAATTTGAAATTGATTAGTTGACTGATAATGATTATTTGATTGATCGTTCCTTATCTCCACAAACAGTACAGGAACTGGTCAAACTGGTTTCTAAAATAAACATTTTATGTTAATACATAATTAAATAATTAACCCGAACTTTTTAAGTTCTAAATTATAAACTTTTTCCGTTACCATTGACCCCAACCCCCCTTAGATATAATTAAAAACACTAGATTAAATATTATTTTACTCACATGTAAAACGATAAAAACATAAAAAGGTCGCGATTTAAATAAATTGGAATGAATTTGTTCCAAGACTTAGTTACCAATTGAATGATTAAAATAAGATAATCTTTTTTTTAATTGAGTCTACTTTAAAATCAGTAAAAAAAAATTTACTTCAAACTTCAAACATTAGACTAAGTTGTTTAAGACAATTGTTATTTTTTCGGAGCCGGTAACTTTTGTATTTTGGATATCCAGATCAACGCTTAATCTTGATTTTTTCTTAATCTGCAGATTAACTGTTAATCGATATATAGCAGTATTCAACTCAAAAGTTCCCGGCTCAAAAAAAATCGAAAATAGACTTTTTCCCCCCCACTTTGACCTTTCTTCTGAGGCCGTTGAGCCGCCGCTTGCTGCAGGTCAGCTTGAGCCACCCCCTGTGGCGGATCAACTTGAGCCACCGCCTGCTGCCGGCCAACTTTTTGTCCTGAGTCTGCGACCTTCTTTATAACTGATACTAAATACTTTACAATCAACAAATTATCAAATTATGGATTATTAATTTATATTTGGACAATTTTCTTTCTATTTAATTGCATGGAGTCTCTGATACAAACATACTTTTTGTCAGCACTATATCTTTGCAATTTGATGATGTACATCTACATAAGTACTTTCGATTAGAAATTTAATTTACTTCAAATAGGAAACTAACCTTGGATGAAGTTTGTGTTGTTCATTTTTTCTAAAATAATTTACTTATAAATTGTATCTAAACTTTATAGGAATACAAGACTAATTGTATTTAAAGATTTGATTTTATAGGAATACAAGACTTGAGGCGGGACTGTATAGTTGTCAAAACAAACCTTTTAACCTTCATCTAATCAAAAATGTGGAAAGAAGATATTAAGCAATTTTCTCGTTCTAAAATAAAGTTCTCCATTGTTTCTGTAGCAGAAATGCGTAAGTTACAAAATCACAATTGAGAATAAGCAATCTTCAAAATTAAAACATTGATATCTCATTCATTCTTGATGATACAAAGCTTTTCAAGGTATTGCTGTGAATAGTACATTCCCCTCTAGAAATGGGGAGTCACCTTAATTTACGTTTTAGTCCCTTCAAGAGTAAAATTTATAATATCATTATTTATAAATTAATTTGAAATATCATTATTTATAAATTTGAAATATCATTATTCATAAATTTGAAATATCATTATTTATAAATTTGAAATATCATTATTTATAAATTTGAAATATTATCATTTATAAATTTGAAATATTATTATTTATTAATTTGAAATATCATTATTTATAAATTTGAAATATCATTATTTATAATTTTGAAATATTATTATTTATGAATTTGAAATATCATTAGTTATAAATTTGAAATATCATTATTTAAAACTTTGAAATATCATTATTTATAAATTTGAAATATCATTATTTATAAATCGAATAAAAGCAATATTTCTCTGCAAGACAATGCATACAGCATGCGCATGGAAGTAAGTTATTTTTTGTTTAAAATATTTCTTTTAAAAAGGCCAAATATATTAGAAATTAGAAATCTTGCTTCTAAGTATGTCCGATTCACAACAATCAACCTTAAACCTTTGGCTGAGAATGAATGAGATCTCCTTGTTTTTTAAACTTGATAATGTTTGCCACAGACTCTTATTTTCTAATATCTATATCTTTGCAAGTTGATTGTGTAAAACCTTTATTATTTCAAACATAGATCATTTTATCTATAACAATTTTTATTACACAGACAATAATAAAAAATGTGAAATTTTAAACTTCTGAAGAACAACGACGACGACGACGTTGTGAATCTGACATGTCATGATATTTAGATGTAGGGTCACTTGAAAGGAGATACACTTGATATATCGAATAAAAAGCATAAACTATAGAAAAAAACTACACAAGAAATTATTAATATCGTAATTTATGTTTAAAAAAAATATGTTATCATACAAATTCTGATATTTTGATTTTAGTTTCCAATAGTTTACTGATATTTGTTTAACTAATTATAAAAATATTATCTAGTAGAAGAAGTATTTTAAGATAAGATTAGTGTACTTTTTTTTTACAAGCTCACGTCATAATTAAGGAAAACATTTAAACTAAGCATTTTTATCTTTTAATTTAAAACCAATAACAAATTTTAATCAAAAAGTATATCTATAATTTGTTTTATACCCCTTAATAATAATTGTCATGTACAAATGTACATATTACGTACAATATCCCAAATATAATATTTAGATTTGTTTTAAATAGAAAGTTTCATTTTGTAATCTTTGTACGATTTGGTTAGCTTTAGTTTTATTTTTTATTCCTAAAGAAAAAATTATTTTTCAAAAAAATTGTTTAAGGATTTTTTTCTATAAACGATTTTTTTTATTTGTTTTAATTGATTTCAACATTTTTACATTTTTTTAAAACGATGCGTATTTTTCTTACACATTGAAGGGAGTGACCAGCAATGTATGTTAGCTGAACTAAGACTAGTATTGTGGAGAAATTTTTTTAGAACATATTTGAGAAAAATAAAACGTTTTAATGGTGTATATTTACTGAGTTTGATCGCACAGATCTATTTGGGTGGTTAAGTTTTGAGAATCGATTTTTAAAAATCATTAAAAAACGACGACAAAAAATACAAAAAAAATTACAATAATTTAGATGTTTAGGAGCATATTTCTCAATTGAAACGTTCTCAATAAATCAATGTTTGTTTCTTATTATTATATTAAATTTCTTATTCTTTATGAATTTGTTCGCAGATTTCTTCAAACTTTTCAAATGTCGACTTTTCAATATCTACAGAAAATGTTTGTGAACAATGAAACATTATAGAAACCAATAACTGAATAAGATTACTTATTTTCGATGATAATAGATAAATTTTTATTTTCTCAACCTATTCCTAAACAACTAATTAGTTTACTGTAGAATTTTTTCGTCGTTGTTGTTGAATAATTTTAAAAAACCGATTCTCAAAATCATCCCTCTTTTTCAACAATACTACATTTCCAGTTCAACTACCATACATTGCCGGCCACTACATTTAACTGAAAAGGCAAGCGAAATTCATATAACGGGAAGAAAAGTCGCATTATTTGTAATAGATTGTAAATTTTGTAAGGTTTAAAACAAATTTAAACATCGATCCTTTTTAAGAACATGTTTTTAAGGTTCAGGACACCCAGTGCATAATTTAGTTAATCAGTATAGTGTTAAAGCCTTGTTTGTTAAGATTAATAAAACACTAATATAACTTATTGTTTACGAAATTAAAGATTAACGAATTCTTTATTTACATTATTTCTTTGATCACTTCCTTTTTTAAAATCTTTTTAAAATGTGATAAGATAGGGATCAACTTATTCAATTCGCCCCNCACGTCACAATCTAGCGTACTGCATCTAATAACAACAATGATCAGTGTAGTTGATTAAGCAATATACACACGTCACAATCTAGCGTACTGCACCTAATAACAACAATGATCAGTGTAGTTAATTAAGCTAAATACACAAGTCAGAATCTAGCGTACATTTTCCTCCAAATCTCCTGACGGGCAATTCGCGGACACGAACGAAGTAAAATTGAAGTACCTGACACTTTTTATGAAAGAAAAACGGTGATACCTTTGTCATTATTACTTAAATAGAGGTAATTGTAAATCAGACATTCTCTTTTTAAATGTTGGGTCCCCTGAAATAACGTGTACGGTCCCTTTAATATGCAATATGTATGTTTTTTTTATATTCTCTAAACCTCTCTTTATCAAGAATCTTAACCACCAAGAGTAAGGGTAGAGTTAATACTTTGATAATAGATAAATACCAAGCTTTCGAAATACAATTCAAAGAAGAACATAGATATATAGATAGATTATTGATAAATAGATTATGTTCATTATTTGTAGATGTTCAGCTTAACATTTATATAGATAGATTGTTATTTCTGAATTAAACTACACATTTTATTAACAAAGAAATATAGATAGAAAGATAGATGTATAGATAAATAGAGATACAGATAAATAGATGTATAGATAAATAGAGATATAGATAAATAGACGTATAGATAAATAGAGATATAGATAAATAGATACTAGATAGATATATAGATGTACATAATACACACATATATCAGCTTGATAATTTGGCTATGATTAACTTTTTTCTCATCTTTTTATTATTTGGAAGAATTGATAAAAGAATGAAAATAATATCCCTGTTTTCTCACATAAACTACATCATAACGTTATTATCTTTGGCAAAACAACTATATATTTTTTCAGAAAATCATTAATAAATAAAAATATTATCATACAACAAAACAAAAAATATTGTTACAATTGTATTCTTATGATTTCAATTTCTTTATATTGAAAAGTTTTTAATCAGAAAAGGGTTTAGTGTCTGTTTTTTTCTTTGTTTCTATTGTAAACCCACCCAGCTAGTTCATTCAACCCAAGCTAAGTTTTATCATGAGTTGAGAACTGGACAAACAAAATAATATTGATTGTATTTAACCCGTTACTACTGGAGCTGGTATCAACGGCCAGAGGAAATTTCCAGGGTAGCAAGGTTCAAATCCTGGGAATCCTTATCGGGGGAACACGGATAACGGTGCTTTCG